TAGGAACAAAATGCAAAGTAAGTAGGAAAAATTAACATTCACATACCTTTATGAAAAATGAACAAAATTTTGACATACAAAATAACCAAAATAAATGGAATGTTGTATAATATTCTTGAGTAGAAATATTCCTAAATAAATTAAAATATTAAAATACAATAAATTATGTTGTAGAATAATAGTTTTGTACACTGTGAAGATATCTCTTTGAAAGGTACCTTCTGATTGGTTTAATTAAGAGCTAAATGGCCAATAGCTAGACAGGAAGAGGTTAGGCGGGACTTCTGGACAAAGAGAAGAGAGGAGATGATCCGTGGTGCCACAGAGATGCCAGAGGAAAGGAAACAGGAGGTACAAGGTAACAGAGAGGGGCAAAAAGCCATGAGGCAAACATAGATGAATATAAATTAGTTAATTTAAGTTATAAGAGCTAGTGGGGTAAGTCTAAGCTACAGGCTGAGCTTTCATAATTAATAAGAAGTCTCCATGTCATTTTTTATGAGCTGGCGGTGAAATGATCTGACGCGAGTGGGAAGAAAACACCAGACGCGAACAAACCCACTTAGAACTTTATTAGAGAAGCGAAGTGCACGCAGGCCTGAGAAAACAATGTACGGAGAGAGAGCAAAGACAGAGCCTCCAGCTTTTAAAGGCTGCCTCACAAGCACACAGGGGGATGCCGTGACTACATCACATGCTGATGAGCAGATGACAGGCGACCCACGCATGCGCACAAGGGTTTTAATTGAGTCACACGTGGAGGTAACTACGCATGTGCACACGTGGGTCACACAGGCCCTTTGTTCCCAAGGGTCCGCCCACATGTGCCTGCCTTTAGGACACGGACGTGTGGCCTTATAGGTGGCTGAATAATTACAGACAGCCCAAAGAAAACTCCGTCTACAAAATTACAACACAAATCCCCGGGGCACAGATGTAGTTGAGTGATACAGCATTTGTCTACCAAATATAAATCCCTGCCTCAATCCCCAGTATCACAAAAACTAAATAAAATAAATAAAAATAAAATCTCAACAAAATTTTACAAATCATTCCAAAACTTTATAGGGAAGAAAACAAGGTTGAATGTAGCTAGGGCTAGGTATAGTAACATTGCTCTATAATCCTGCCATTCAGGAGGCAAAGCAGAAGTGTAGTTGTTTTTTTTTTCTCTTTGGGGGGCCCACCACCCAACTGCCAAATAAATACTTGGAGACTTATTCTTACGTATAAATGCCCCACCTTAGCTTGGCTTGTTTCTAGCTGGTTTTTCTAACTTAAATTATCCCATTTCTCTTTAACTACATTTTGCTGGGCTTTTTAACTTTCTTTATTCTAAGTGTTTTTCTTTTTTTCTTTTCTTCCTTCCTTTCTTTCTTTTCTTCTTCTTCTTCTTCTTCTTCTTCTTCTTCTTCTTCTTCTTCTTCTTCTTCTTCTTCTTCTTCTTCTTTTTTGTTTTGTTTTTCGAGACAGGGTTTCTCCGTAGCTTTTGGTTCCTGTCCTGGAACTAGCTCTTGTAGTCCAGGCTGGCCTCGAACTCCCAGAGATCCGCCTGCCTCTGCCTCCCGAGTGCTGGGATTAAAGGCGTGCACCACCTCTGCCTGGCTCTAAGTGTTTTTCTTTCCTTCTTTCACTCTGACTGGCTGGGTGGCTGGCTGGCTGGTTGGGTGGCTGGCTGGCTGGTTGGGTGGGTGGCTGGGTGGCTGGTCCCTGCTGTCCTCCTCTCCTCCTCTTCTTTTCTCACTCTTCCCTCTTCCCCCAAGCTTAGATTTCTCCTCCTGTTTATACTGTCTGCACACCAGCCTCCTCTATCCTTTCTCCTGCCTTGCTATTGGCCATTCAGCTTTTTATTAGACCAATCAGGGTGTTTTAGGCAGGCAAAACAACAATGGCTGCATACTGTGAGTGGAGAATCAAGAGTTCCATTGAAGAAATGTGGTATTTTACAAATCTAATCAGCACATTAACCACATATGGACAGATCATTGAGAGTAGCAAAAGAATAAACAACAATCCAGCAACAGAGGACAATAGGATTGTTAGCCAAGGGGACCAATCAAAGAGCTTATGGAACCAGGAAAAAGATTGTTGTCTTTCTTTTTGCCCTTTGAGGAGACTCTTATCGAGCTCTTGAAGAATATTTGTAATGACTCCCAAGCGGTTAGCATAGAAACAACAGGACTTACCCAAGGCAGCACTTAGCCTTCCTTGTTTTAGGAGTCGAGTCCCCTTCTGTTTGGTTAGACCATTTCTGCTAAATAGTCTACTTGTTATACAAGGTATGAGGTCACTGCCTGTAGGCAGAATAAGTCTTTTTCCATGGCCTCAGAGAAACTATTGTAACTGACTTGGCTAATAATTAGTGCTGCTACTCTCTAGGCTGCTTGACCCACAATACCTGTTCCCACCATTATGGGGATGAAGACTGGCATTCCTCACTTATATTTGGACCAGGCAAGTGTCCAAATGTTTCCTGCCAGCTCGGCCATCACAATATATTCGTGGGACAATTTGTACTAAGACACAGATCTCGGGTCATTTTCCCATGGTGAAAAGGTTAGTTGATATACAGGGGTATAAACCATGGTACAGGCATACCAAGACCCTTGGAGTGACTATTTGATGGAGTTGTTTAAGTTAAGAGTATTGGAAGACCATGTGAAAGTATATATATTCGTCATATTGATGAATAGGCAGTTTTGTCTATGGGATAGTTGAGTTGCAAGCCCTTGAAGGTCACCTAGGATGAGGGGGGCCTCCCAGGGACAAGCTGTTCTGTTGGTGAGGGACACAGTCCTGAGCATTACAGTTGGCTATGTGGCCAGAAGACCTAACCCCATATAAAAAGTGAGTTCCTCCCTGGTGAGGTGGCATTTTGGATTATCTAGGTAGTCTGGAGCTAATTTGCAAGGACGTGAGAGGCCAAAGGAGGTCATGTAAAAAAGTCCCATGGGGAGGACCAGAGTCCTAACCTGTGATCACTGTATAGTAAATGCCATTCCATGGTCATTACCAGACTCAGATAACCTACATCCCCAAGATCTTCCCAAGTCCCAGAAGCTATAAGCTTGTGGGTGTGCAGCATCCCATCCTTTAACTTGG